CGCTGACAAAGCCGTTGGGTGCTAGGCACTGCTCTGCGCTGTGAAAGAAGTGGGCCATGAGGAACTTGTGCAGCCGGAAGTCCTCCACGCCAAGATGGGGGTGATTCCACACAATCGCATCAAACTGCACGCCGGGAAGTTGATCCTGAATCTGCCACGCGTTAATGCCGTGCAGTACCTGTTTCAAGGGACCCAGACGTGAGACAGTGCTACAGTGGTGTGGCACGCGTGACTATGAACGCATGAAACGGCTACGGTTCAGGCGCTGCACTCACACAAATACGTTCACACATGTACACATGCACAAATGCATACACACACACACACACACACACACACACACACACACACACACATGCACAAGTGCACACACACACACGAATGCACAAATTTACACATGCACACAGACACACACACAAACATATTGAAATACATTCACACTCTGGTGAGCAAGGTGCTTGGATCTGTTGGCTACAATGCCACAAGTGACGGGAACAGCCCCTCGTCATGCATCAGACGTGTGCAGCCACACACCTGGACGTGTGAGAACCGTTGGAGGCGCTCAAGGATGCCAGCTGTCTCTGGGTACTTGTCCAACAGCTCCTCCCGCTGATCAAAGGATGTCGCGAGGATGTAGAGGTCATCACTGATGTCGAACGTGTTGGTGCTGAAGAAAGCATCGGCTGCCGGCTTGGAGATGCAGCGTCCCCAAAGGGCATCCGCCAATGACAGGGAGAAAGAGAAGTTCCCGTCGCCAAGGATCAGCACCACCCTGCGCTTGCTGTCGGTTGACGGCAACTTGAGCTCGGGCACGTAGAGTGCCCCTTCCTTGGCTGCGTCTTGCGCATGCTGTTCCTGCGCCTGCACCTGCGCCTGGGAGGCGTTCCCCGCTGTGGAGGAGGGCGATGTCACCTGGGACGAAGACGCATGGGCTTGCTTGTTACCATCGGTGCACCAGCTACAGGTGTACAGGCTGCTGCTCAGGAGCACCGCCGCGTGCAGCGGCAGCAAGCAAGGGCTGACCATGGCTGTCAGCCCAAGCATCGCCGCTTCAACCACCAGCGTCGTTCGCATGTCGCCGCAGGAACACAACAACAAGCAGACACAAGCACACCCGACCGAACCACGTGCAGCACGGTTCCACGACAGCACAAATGTCAACACACCAAGTTTGGAGGATTTGCAGAAATCATCTGCAGAATATCGACCGCGGACGAGCCCAACCAAACCAAACCAAACGCAAACTGTGTGTTCATCGTTACCGTGTTCAGCAGTCGCGGTGTGCGGTGTGATTCCCACCTCTGACCACTGCACGCAACAGTGTGATGTGATGTTGTAACCTGATGAAAGCCAGCACCTTTGCTTGCACTTTCGAAGAAAGCTGACAAGCATGACGACCTGATCATGTGCTGTGACGTGGTCTTGCACCCAAGCACCCAATCAAGTTTAAGTTCTTGGCAATCTGATGGAACCATGACGCCACAACACACGTGCAAACACCAAGATGTGGTTGGATGCCTGACAATCACAACCACGCACCCCCTGCCCCTCCCAGCACGTACATTCAAGTTCAAGGGATTTTCAAGATCAGGTTTCCATGAAAACCTGACACCACCCGCAAGTCAAACCCCACAACCACTGTGTGTGCCGGAACGCTGACGGTATGGCGTCGCCGCATGGTGATGGGCTACTGCGGTTGTGTTGTGTGCAGATCGGCAAAGATGTGCTTGCTGCCATGAAACATATCCACCGGCATGTGCTGAGTGCAGTCAAGCAGATACATGTCGATGTCATGTCTTCCGTGATCATTTTCCATCGCTCCACTTCAAGACTTCCAGACCTTCAGACTCCCACTTCCTCCGCCTCTTCCAAATCACACACGACCTCGACAGCTCGACGATATCCCCCGCCCTCCATTCCCTGAGAATCGAAGTGTCGCACCTTTGGCGCTACCACCTCAACGACTTCAAGCAAGACCATCAGACAAGGCTCCACAGCGCGACAGACAACGCGCCCACCCCGCTACGTGCCTTTAAGGCCTTCCACCAAGAAGACCGACTCCGCTTGGCTTCAAGAACGAGCCACGCCGTACGTCTCCACAGGAGTGGCAGCTATGATGTCCACCATGGTTTCTCTACTGATGGCCCTGATTGCCATCGCACTCATGGCCCCGCAAGCTGTGACGGCTCAAGACAACAACACTGCCACCACCTCAGCGTCAACGACCGCCGATGCACGCTCAACCACGATCCCTCCAACTCCACGAATTCCCATTGGCTGCGTCCTCTCGCCCATCCAGCCTTGTAAGTCCCCACAGCAAGCGCTCTGCGTGCGAACACGTGCGTGTGTATGTGTGTATGTGCGTCTGCGTGAGTGCGCATGTCTGTGTCTTGTGTGCACTCAGGTGCATTTTACCACTTGCTGTTGCCGCTCACATTTCAGTTCTGTTGTTTCTTGTTCCCCAAACTTTTGTGGTTCATTGCCAGCCGTGTGCGATGCATATGAAGAGTTTCTGCACGCGGCCATCCCTGGGCTCTTCGACTTGTATCGCATGTCAGAGCTGGAGCTGCTGGACCAGGTGCACACCTTGGAGTATGCTCTCGTCGACACCAAGACCATGTCTTGCCTCGACGTTGAGCAAGGATTTGCCCCTCTCAACGGCTTCGGCCTTCCTGTCGTCACAGGTGCGTTCTTGTGTGTGCGTGTAAGCATGTGTGCGTGTGTGTGTGTGTGTGTGTGTGTGTGTGTGTGTGTGTGTGTGTGTGTGTGTGTGTGTGTGTGTGTGTGTGTGTGTGTGTGTGTGTGTGTGTGTGTGTGTGTGTGTGAGTGTGCACCTTTTGCGACGCTGTCATCTTGCATGACCCTTCTCTCTCTCTCACCCATTTTCATCTCTTTCCCATCCCAACTCAAACACACAGGTCCAGTTCCTGGGCACGCAAGACCGCGTGCTGAACGCCGTGCTGTCTGGTGATGCTGCTGCCGGCATGGTGCAAACCGGTTTCCTCGAGCAAGCTGCACGCGATGGTCTGCTCAACTGGGAAGACATCGATATCCTCGCCCAGGAGATTGCCATCTCCGAAGACGGCACGCGCTTCCCCTACTTCAGCTCAACCCCCATCTACCCTGGCTGGACCGCTGTCGCCACGGGCCTGTCGTCACTGCGAGAGCGCATAGATGTGCTTGACTTCATCCTGGCTGTTAACGACACGACTGTCACTTTCACGTCGCCCGAGAGCTTTGCCAGCGTCGGTGATATCCTGGTGAGTGAGCGTGCGAGGGAAGACAAGGGGAGGGTTGTGCTGTTTGCGCTGAATTATCGCTTGCTTGCATCGCCTCACTCACGTGCAAACCATTTCCGACTCAATTCGATGGCATCATTTTCGCGCCCAACCACCCTTCACCACTGAACCACCACCACCAACACAGGAGAACTTTGGCGTGATTGAGCGCGATTTCGTGCGCACGACAGAGACCCGCTGCGTTCGCAAGGCGTCGCACGTCGTTGTTCCGGAGAACAGCGAGGGTGCAGCACCCGCCGTTGCGATTGATGTTGGCCAAGCACAAGCTGAGCAAATCGATGAACCTGGCGCCGTCGTGTTGGCCGCTTCAGGTGATGACGCGAGTTCCAACGCGCACACCAGCGAGCTTGTGGCCTCTCAGGTCATCTGCCCCAACACGCACTTCATCTTCAACCACGTCGTGCTCGCCACCCGCTGTGCCGGCCGCTCGTGCCCCGATCAAGCCCGCTGCCTCTGCCGCCCATGCCAGAAATCGCCACCTGTCCTGGTGTGTGCATGAGTGTGTGAGTGAGTGTGTGTGTGTATGATGTACTTGACTGCCTGTACACATGTTTGTGTGCGTGTTTTCGTGCGTCCATCTGCTTTCTTTTGCTGTGGTTGGTTTCGTTCAACCCAACGTCGCTCATTCAACCATTCAATTGTGGTCTCTGGTTGCTTCCTCTTGCCTGCAGGCACACGTTTCTCCGGTGCAGGTGACGGAGCAGTTCTTCCAACAGGACACCGCAACGGCGGCAGCAGCGGCTCGCGACTTGCTTCTGACGTCGTGCCAGCGAATGCAGGTGTGCGCATTTTCACAGCAGGCGCAGCCAACGTACTTCGTGCTGGAGGACCACCTCTACAATGAGCGGCCAAACAAGGACTCGCTGTTCTACTACGTGAACCTGTTCTGGGCGGAAGCAGAGGGTACCGTCAGCACTGAAGCCATGCCGCTGCCCAACTACCCAAACCTCGCCGCATTCAACGTCACGGGCACCCGCTACGGCACCGGCGTCATCGAGGTGAGCAGGCGTGCACTTGTGATTGCGTCTCCATCGCAGCAAATTCAGAAGAGTGGCTTCGTGTATATTTCTTCACGCCTGCATCAGCCTTCTCACCATCTGAGTCACCCACCGATCTGCCCCCACCCGCTTCGTGCTTTGATGCCCCACCTCACCCAAAACACGCACACACGCGCGCGCATGTACACATACATACGCACACACACACACATACACATGCAGATCTATGTTGCTGACCGCAACACGGAGATCACCGAGTGGCAACCCATTGATGGAAGCCCCTTCCTGCTTCAGGTCTCGCCACGCGACTGCCCAGATGGAATGGAGCCCACGCAGGACAACACGTGCGAATGCCCCGTCGGCACACTCCACCTCAGCGGGAAATGCATGCAGGCAAAGGAGTACCTGCCCCTCTTCATCGGCAGCGCCCTGGCTGTGATTGGCATCGGCGTGTACATTGCCATTGCGCTGGTGCGGCGAGGCGCAGACAAGCTGTGGCAGATTGACGCGGCAGACGTTGTTGTGAGCGACCCACCGGAGGTGCTTGGGATGGGCGCGTTTGGCGTGGTGATCAAGGGCGAGCTGAACGGCACCGCCATCGCCATCAAGCGCATCATGCCCAAATTACGTGGCGCTACCAGCAGCAAGCGGGGCGGCTCCAAGAAAAGCTCGAAGCGGAGCTCCAAGAAGGAATCCACCAACAACAACAATGACAACGCCGACGACCATACAGTGGTTGCGATGAGTGGTGTCACGGCCATGTCAACCTACCAAGCATCCAAGACAACCAACGGCTTTGGCATGCAGTTTGACAACATCGACAACGAGGCGGCAATTGAACGCGCGCTGGAGTGGCAGGATGACATGGCTTTTGATGGCGCAACCATGCACCACACCGTGCATGAGAAGAGCCTGAGCAACGCTAGGTAGGTCCACTGAATGTGATGTGCCCTGACTCATACTGCCTTCTGATGCCGTGTGTGTGGTGATGCGTTGCATCCCTCAGCATCCTGCGCCAACTCACTTCATGGTTCCCGCGTGCTTGCTTGCTTGCTTGCGTGGGTTCTTCCTTGCGATTGTACAGGTCTGAGTTTATGGCGGAGATTCGCCTGCTGTCGCGCCTGCGTCACCCGTGCGTCGCCACCATGCTCGGCGCCATTGTCACCAAGTCAAGCGAAGTTCTCCTCGTCCTGGAATACCTCGAGCACGGGTTAGTTGTGTGTGTGTGTGTGTGTGTGTGTGTGTGTGTGTGTGTGTGTGTGTGTGTGTGTGTGTGTGTGTGTGCGTGCGTGCGTGTGCGTGTGTGTGTGATGTGCGTGTGCTTGTGTGTGTATCTATCTTTCTACCTGTCTATCTGTCTGTGTGCGTGTGAAGTCTGTGACATGCTGCTTGAGGATGCTTGCAAGCAAACTGGCAGGGCCTTCTCATCGCTCACGAATTGGTTGTCACAACCCATCACTGCTCGAACGCTGCTCCAACCAACGACAGGTCGCTGTATGACTTCCTGCGCAACGACAAGCTGCCGACACCAGACATGTTTCTGCTGCCCATTGTCAAGGACATTGTGTCTGGCATGCGCTACATCCACAACCTCAAGCCACCGGTTGTGCATGGCGACCTCAAGGCAAAGAACGTGCTTGTGGACGGCAACTTCAAGGCCAAGGTGTCCGACTTTGGTCTCTCCCAGAAGCAACGCTTTGGCTGTGGCACCCCCTTCTGGATGGCGCCAGGTGTGTGTGTGTGTGTGCATTTGTGTGTGTGTGTGTGTGTGTGTGTGTGTGTGTGTGTGTGTGTGTGTGTGTATGTGTTTGTGTGTGTGTTTGTGTGTGTGTGTGCTGGTGTGCACGTGATGATGTGCTACTGTGAATGTGCATGCATGCAAGCACGTGCATGTGTATTCAGGCGTGTGTGTGTACTGCAGAGTTGCGTTCTTTCCCTCCTACGTCAACACAAACACCATACCTTCCAACCACAACCACTCACAATTGCCACTCACAATCATCGCCAACACAACCACCCCTCACCAACCAATCATCACAACCATGCAGAGGTGCTGCGCGGAGGAGAGGTGACACGGGAGGCGGACGTGTACAGCTTCGCCATCACCGTGTACGAGATCTACAGCCGACAGGACCCGTTCCCAGAAGAAGACGCGTCGGAGGTGCTGCGTCAGATTGCCGCGCGCCAGGTGCCGGCAAAGCGACCCGACATCCCAGACTCGTGCCCCGTCATGCTGGCTGAGCTTGCGCGGCGGTGCTGGTCCGAGGAGCCCAAGTTCCGGCCAACGTTTGACCAGGTGGATGCGCAGCTGGGCGAGCTGAACATCAGCAAGGTGGGCGCAAGCCTCATCCAGCAGAAGCAGGATGCACTCAACAAGGCCACGGTGCTCAACGACGTGTTCCCGCCGCACATTGCCAAGATGCTGGAGGAGGGCAAGAAGGTGCACCCGGAGCACAAGGACGACGTGACCATCTTCTTCTCCGACATTGTGGGCTTCACCAACATCAGTGCGCAGCTGACGCCGGCGGCGGTGTCGGACATGCTGGACCGGCTGTACTCTGCCTTTGACGAGCTGACGGAGAAGCACGGCGTGTTCAAGGTGGAGACCATTGGCGACGCGTACATGGCGGCAACAAACCTTGTCAAGCCGCAGCACGACCACGCGCTCCGCATTGCGCAGTTTGCGGAGGACGCCATCAAGGCGGCGCAGTCGACGTTCATTGACATGGAGCGGCCGGAGCTCGGGTGCGTGAACATCCGCGTTGGGTTCCACTGCGGCCCTGTTGTGGCCAACGTTGTTGGGCGGCGCAACCCGCGGTACTGCCTGTTTGGGGACACGGTGAACACGGCGTCGCGCATGGAGAGCTCGAGCGAGCGCAACAAGATCCACGTGTCGACGTCTGCGGGAGACCGCGTGCGGAGCCAGGCGCCGTGGGTGAAGCTTGAGTCGCGCGGGGTGCAGAACATCAAGGGCAAGGGCGAGATGCTGACATACTGGCTGGTGAGCACGAAGAAGCCTGAGCAGACGGGGCGTGTTGCCATTGCGGAGAACGAGGCCACCGTCATTGACATGGGCGAGGGTGACGATGCAAGCAGCTGCGACATCGATGATGGTGATTGCCACGATCAAGAGCACAGCGGTGATGACGCCGACGGCCACAGGAACAGCGCGCAGCCGAAGGACAGCATTGGGGGCGGGTTTGTGTTCAAGAAGAAGCGTGCGTCGTCCATTGGGCGGCAGTCGGCAGGAGCACACGAGGGCCGCGCATCGGCGCGCGTGTCCCTGAGCTCCGTGTCGTGGCTCAATGATGCAAAGGAGTTTGAGGCCCTGTCACGTGACAACCTTGACACCCGTCGCACCTCCACCACCCCACGCAACCCACCACCACCACCGTCGTCGTCACCATTGTCGGCAATGCCCCCTTCCCCTGGTGATGACCACGATGACCATGATGGTGACGCGTCGCGGCCGAAGAAGAAGCGCTCGTCGTACTACGCGCTGGCGGCGGTGGATGCAGAGGCCTCGCCCAACAACCGCGGATACAGCGCCATCATGGAGGGCAGCGATGACGATGGGGTGGACGAGGGGACGGGAACGCGAGGTGATGGAAACAGCGTCACCATCTCCATCCAAGAATCAGAAAGCGTTGACGTGTAATGTGTCTGGGTGATGTGGTTGTGTGTGTGTGTGTGTTGGTGTGTGTGTGTGTGTGGTTGTGTGTGTGTGTGTGTGTGTGTGTGTGTGTGTGTGTGTGTGTGTGTGTGTGTGTGCTTGTGTGTTGTTACATGTGTGTGCGTGCGTGTGTGTAATCTGTTTGTGGGTGGCGTTCTTTCTTCACACCCACTCTCATCTCCCCTTGCAAAACAGCGGGCAATCATGTTGGTTATACTTACATTTACACAACAACGCGTTGAACTTTGGATTACTTGTGGCCACTGTGATAACATACACCTGACTACCTGATTGGAAGAGGCAAAGGGATGAGGCTGGTGTGTGGGGGATGGTGCAGAACAACAGACGCATCTGCGTGATGAATGTCTGGAAATAGGGAACCTGGGGAAGAGCATCGCTTACCATCTTGTCGACCATCGCTACAATCCAACTCACACACGACAATTTGGCGCAGAATAAAGACTGCGTCGGCTTGTCGATCACAAAACAATGCTTCTTGTTATTCGCGTACCGCTGGTCCATGGAGCTGGCAACGTCAAGCACTTGTGGTGAGGGTCTCCAGTATGATCCGTTTACTCGGTCAGTTACTTCGACAGAAGCCGCGAGGGGGGACGGATAGGGATAACACTCCAACATAGAAAGTGGGGTTGCAGAGCACACACACTGAGTTGAAACCACAGTCTACAAACGTGAACATGCACTGAAGTGCGGAGGAAAGAACAACTGTGGGTGTGTCTGTCGACTCACGTGTCGACAGATCATTCATGCATCGCCCAGCCTCTCTACAGAAGACGCCGGCACACAGACAAAGACGTACTTGCTCTATCGTGAAAACAACAGACAGGCACTAGGATACGGGTTTGCCAACGTGACAAGACAAGAGTAAGAGTGACAAGACAAGACAAGACAAGAAGAAAGCGAAGATACAAGAGCAGAGAATGAAGAATCACCTAGAAGAGCACAACAGCGGAGCAGAGACACGACATACAGCGACAAGCAACGATACAGTATATCACAACCGTTTTCCGCGTGTCGATACATCGACAGAAGGAGAAGCTCAGAAGTCCGAGTTCGGCTAGCTTGGGTAATGCTAATTAGCGTCTGCGCCTCCCGGAGGAGGCCTTGCCAGCCTTCCTGGTCTTCTTCTTGCCCTTGGCTTTGGTCGTGGTGTGATTGCTGTGCTTGGCATTGGTCGCCGCACTGCTCGAGGTGTTGGCCTGTCCCGTCGTGGTGTCATTGCCGGGGCGGCATTCGATCATCACGATGCCGGGGGCATCGGTGCTGCTTGCTGCGCCCGTGCAAGCTATGTTGCTCAGGTCTGTCACACCTGTGCCTGTCCACAGCGTCGTTGTTGTTGCGGCCTTGTCTGCGGGCATTTCTATTGGGCGCCCCTGCTTGTCCATGGGCTTGCCACACATCCGACATGTGTTCTTGTTGCCTGGCATGATTTGATGGATGGTGTGAACAGGACGCGGATGTAGATGCACGTATGTGTGTGTATGTGTGTATGTGTATGTGTTTCTATGTGTCGATGGGAGGATGGACGGGATTTGGACGACTGTTGGGTGTGATGGAATTAATGAAATGAAAGTACACGAAAATGCGATGTTGAAGCTGTTTTTTCAAGGAGGGGCGTACGGGCAGGGCAGTCGCCCGATGGATGAGAGCGCGCGCCTGTTGAATGGAACGAGGTGATGTCATTGTAACGAACGCAAATGAGGCGGGCAGAGACCCACCAAGCAAATGCACACATACTTACACACCACACACGCACACACAAACACACATGCACACACACACACCCACACACGCACACACGCAAACACGCACACACCCACATTCTTAGATGCCCACTACGCCCACCGCCTACATACTCCCAACTAAAAGGCCGCACACAGACACTCACAAGTTTTATATTTGATTCTAAATGATATTTCGAATGTGGTTATGTTATTTTTTTGAGCAGAACTAGAACCCTGTTTATGTGAGTGGTGTCTTGTGAGAGCTGGCATTCTTTCTCCCCCCCCGCG